ATTAATATAATTAAGCATAATAAAATTGTTTGTAATTATATATCAAGTTGTATTGACAGTACATCTACACACCTACACACACACATTCGCACAGAAAAATCATGGTTGCCTACATGTTATTTACGTACCATATTACGTATTCTACAACATTGAAATACGAGATTGGAAAATTGATAAAAGTTTGAAGAACCAATCGAGTATGTACTAAGATGTTATGATACAAATGTACAACGTTTCGCCCCCATTGTTTTTAAATCCCAGACTGTTATTTCCGTTTAAATTTGACTATTAATCCCACGAAAAAAAGGAGCGTCAATGGATGGTGACAGTATTAATAGAAATCAATCAATATATTATATATCCAATAATTCTTATAAGAAACTGATCTGTTTGGTAAATTTTGACTTGAGATAATCGAAATGAATTAAAACTAATTTCTACCTATACTAACATGGTAAGGCTTTCAAAAAGGTTTTGAGGGGGGAAAGTAGGTGCAGTTAAATGTTGTCCAAAACTAAAAGAGATTGGGGGAGATATTGACCCAGAAAAAAATTTGTTAGAGAAATAGCTGAAAAATATTTCACCGCTGTTAAATGGTATGGAAAATATATCCCAGGAAGGAGAAGAAAGAATAGAAAAGTAAATGAAAATTCAGCTAATACAAACGAAAACGATTGTTGAAAAACAATGAATTGATATCAGATACAGAGGGAAAAGCAGCAGAAAAATGCTGATATTGCGGGTGCGAGAAATTAAGTTCTAAAACAGCAAACATTGGTTCTTCTGAAACGATACATGTGAATATAGAAGATTCCTCTCTCCTCGTCGTATGACCTAAGCGGTGCTCTAAGAAGTGACGCATGGAGTATGAGAAATTGCGGATTAACATAAATGTTTTAATTTTTCAGTCAGATATAAAACTACTTCATGTTTCATTTCAACTGTTTGTTTTTTCGAAGTCCTGTGTAGTATCCATTAAAACCATGGGCACCTCTCACAAACGTTGCGCACTATTCTTTCAATTTCTGCGTGCACTAAACATTAGTAATATACTAGATGCCATAAGACAGAATATTCTCTAATTTGCTGATATAAGTTTTTGAGTAGAAACTTGTAATAACGAGTAATTACGAGAAAGTAGCTATTACATTTTTACACAAATGGAAATATACGCATATGGTCATATGGTATTCTTTATTCAATTGTGCTACATTTCCGTAAATGGGAGATATACATGGCTGAGAACTTCCGGTCTGGTGTTTTGGTTCATCTCTCTCTAAATTAAATAAATTAACTACGTATGCCTATATTAATTAATTAAGTAAAGGTAGAGAATAACCATACAAATAATGTCATGACGGAAAACTGGACTAAGGAAATTACATCAAAATAGATCCCATCTAGATAGAAATGTGAAAAATCCACGTGAAAGGCAAAATACTTCGTTGTTTGACTTATAAATTTAGAATACATTACTCCGAGGCGTACGTGTTTTCAATGCAGTCGACTCGACTTTCTTACAGTCTTTTGGGGCGGTAGACCTCCGTTCTCCCACAAAGCTTTCGATGTCTTTTCCGATATTGTTTCCTGGCTGCGTCGCATAATGTGCAGTTAGAGGCGATGAAATCGGGTGCTCGCTAATGGAAAATAAACACGGCCTGTGTCCCGGCGGGCGCTTGCCCGACCGGTTGCCCGCCGGTGTGAAGTGAAGCCGAGACTGAAGAAAATCCTCAAATCCTTCCGTGTTTTCCGAAGACGAAAGAGGCGCCTTTGGAAATCTCGCGCCCGAGAACCATGAAGCAATAAAAATTTCGTTTCGCACCTCTCCGATAATGAGTGAGAATATCTCTTGGAATTAGGTCTCCCTTTCTGTTTGGAGAGTACTGCCGAGGAAGAAGGTAGGTCCGAAGCTCACGGGGAATATTTATGCCAGTATTAACAACACTTGCTTTAAAGAATACCTGCTTTGTGATTTTCGTAACAAGAATCACGAATTGATGGAGTGGTAAAAATAAATACGTATTAATGTATCATATTTTATCTGGCCAACATATTTAGTCAGAGCAACGTCTTTCAAAAAAACTAAAATATAAAATTAAAGAAGGTTAGGTTGAATTTTTTAATGCGAAATCTAAAAGGTTCTCGAATGTACTGGATCTCCTGGTCTTCAAATAGCACATATAGTACCAACAGGCCATATACACCATAATAGTTCGAAAAAAAGAAAATAGGCAAAACTATAAAGAGAAGGAGAGATCCTGACTGGAAAAGAAAGCAAACCTGAAATCTTCTCTTTCTGATACAGTTCCTGTGGACCAACTTTGTGGTCCTTTGTGAGCATAACGAAGAAATAAATAATAAATTTAGACATCGTTACATAAGAAGGTATATCGTTTTAAATGTACAATATAGGAAATATGATACTAGAATTCGGGAACCCATTTCACTGCAAACAGAGTATACCTTCTTAATGTTCTTATATCTAAAAATAGGTCAATATAATATGACACTTGAAATCGAAACAAATATTCCAAAAAAATAAAAAGGACAGAATTTGCAGGATTCGCAAAGTTATACACAATTCATGGGGGGATAAGTTCTGGAATATTTAAAGTTTTTTGAATCTCAAAACACTTTTAGAATTCGAGGATTCGAAAATTCCTTATTAAAATCACCCAAAGAAAGGAAAAAAATCTCCCGAAAAATTATAAATCATCTGTCTGCCCCGCCAACAGAATCCACTAAAACTACACCACAGCAACCTCACGACATCCCAGCGACGGCTAGGCATCACCAAGCGGCGAAGGGGGCGAGAACATATAGCGCAAGGCCGTTTGTTAATTACGCTAATAACCCAGCCCGTTCCTGGCGTTGTAGCACCTCCGATTCCTCCACCCATCCCCCTTCCCCTCTCCACAACCGTCGACAGACCGCTCTAACTCCCCACCCCGCTTTGCTCTGCTCCGGTCCGCTCCACTCGCCCCGCCTCGTACCCGCC